TGTCCAATCCTTGGTTTTATAATATTTCTATGACAACTTTATCATCGAAGAACTAATGTCACATTACTTTTTTCAGCCCATGACTAAGTCTTATAATAAAAAGCTGAGCTACACTGAGAAATATTATTAGATAAAAGAGGCTACCTATGTAGTGAGACAACTAATTCTAACAATAAAATGGCTTCTTAAAACATTTTAGTATCAGTGGCTGAACAGAAAATTGATGAATCTACAGAAGAACTGAAGCATTTGCAGTTTTTTTTTTTTTTGCTATTGCTAACAATCATTTGTCATGATTTCTATGCTCAACTGTAAACTTATGTTGCTTAAGTGTTTTGAAAAAGAATACAGTTCTGGATATCTTGTGGATAAATAGCATATTGCTCTTTTAAGCAAGCTGGGCCTAATCCATAGTTAAAAGGCTTCTGCCATGTGTGTCTCTTTAAATGTATGGGGTGGCTCATACAGATGTGCATAGATGACTGCATTAGATGATAAAACTTTTTGTGAGCCATTGTGTTTTGGGAAGCAGCTGGGTCAAGATTTAAGCAAGACATACCTTTTCCAGAAAGATGCTATAATCTGGTAGTAACTACTCTGTAACCCGAATTACACTAATCATAGTCCTAATGAAATAGGATTGCTTAGCCTGACGCACGTGCACTTGTAGCCTTTTAGTCATTCAGAGCCATCAGAAACTACACTAGTGTTAATTTAAGAGAAACAAAAAAACACATGTGGCCTAGGAGTCGTTTTACACAGGAGGAGTTCCTTTAGCAATATAATGCAATATTTTTTTACACACACATGGAAACACTGAGCCAGTTCATTTAGAGCCACTGCAGCTGTGTGTGAAGAACAGATCTAACATTTGTCTCAGATATAATTACATCTTTATCCAGGGCCCCAAAAGGCAATGTGATACCACAGACAGACACATTTATATACAGCCTCAGCAAAGAAATCAGATTTAGAAACTCTGCCACATGTACAGGGTATCTGACACAGACATGCATATTTATATCAAATACAGATTAAACAGTCCAATGCAAGACATGCCAGAACTAAAATGTCACAGAGTAAATGGATAAATCTGATACAACAGCATGCGCTTTCAGTTCCTGAATTTCAATTCCATCTTTCAAAAGAATGGACAACAATGATGGTATAAAAAACAAAACGAAACAAACATCAAGAGGCATCATGAGTTCTGCTAAGTACCAGGATATTTTGGCCCCAAACTAAAGATTAAGACTTGGTCATAGATAGACTTTTTTACCACCTACATTACTATGTATATATCCATCAGCCCAATTTGCAAATGTTTATTTGGAGTTTGCATATTAAATTTATAGCAGCTAGCTAAGTAAGCTATAGTATGTTGAACTAAATCAAAACTCTAAAAGGATCAGAGTTAATATTCTGGATCAGATCAGCCCAGTACAGAGCATCGAATTTCATTTTCATGTAAAGAAACATGAAAGAAAACATGCAGATCATTTGCATGGGACAACAAGGCATTTCATTGTCCACATACTGAGTTTCAGTCTACTCAGAAATGGAGCTACATTTTTCCCTTGATTATTTACTATTTACTTAACCTGAAGAAATTGGAAACAATAGTTGTTTGTTTGTATGATTAAGTGTAGCTATAAGTTTAGCTATTAAAAGTTATTTTTTTTCAGTTGTGATTAGAATTTTTGTTTTTGTGTCTAGCAATTTTGAGCTACATTCAAAAAAACTAAAGAAAAAAATGACATATGTTGTATCATACGATCATACGATTGCACTTTTGCAAGCAGTGGGATATATGTGTGTGTGTGTGTGTGTGTGTGATGGTGTACTTCTACATATTGGTGACAAAAGGAAAAACCTTTAAAGGGAAAACAGGCACCGCTATGCTGTGGGGGTATTTTGCTGCCATGGTTTAGATCTACTTGTCTCCTTGACTGCAAAGTATCAGTCCCAAACCATGAACCTCCAGCAGAGCACCATTAAATCCATTATTAAAAACGGAAAGAATATGGCACAATAGTGACTGTGCCTAGAGGAACCCATCAATCAAAAGTAGGTGAGAGATCCACAGCTCAGATGAGTGAATCTGTTCACAGGACAGCCATAGCCTGGACACTCCACACAGCTGGGCTTTACAGAAGAATAATAAGCCATAGGAAGTGTTTGGAGTTTGCCAAAAGTCATGTTGGAGACATGTAACAAACATGGAAAAAGGTTCTTTGGTCTGATGAGACCAAAGCTTTTGGCCTTTAGGGGAAACCTAACATGGCTCACTCTGAGAAAACCATCCCCACAGTGAAGCATGGTGGTGGTAGCATCATGTAGAGCGTTACCCTTGGCCTCTTGGATGCTCCTCTGACTTATGCCCTCCTTACCAAGTCACTGACTTTTGGTGGAGTACCTGCTCTGGAGTACCTGCTCTGGAGTACCTGCTCTGGAGTACCTGGGGCAGTCGTGGCCTAATGGTTAGAGTCTCGGACTTGTAACCCGAAGGTGAACCTGAAGGTCGTGGGTTCGAGTCTCGGGTTCGAGTCTCAGGTCCGGCAGGGATTGTAGGTGGGGGGAGTGAATGACCAGCGCTTTCTCCCACCTTCAATACCACGACTGAGTTGAGACCCTTGAGCAAGGCACCGAACCCCCAACTGCTCCCAGGGCGCCGCAGCAAAAAAGGCTGCCCACTGCTCCGGGTGTGTGCGTGCGCGCGCGCGTGTGCGTGTGCGCGTGTGTGTGCGCACGTGCGTGCATGGGTTAAATGCAGAGCACAAATTCCGAGTATGGGTCACCATACTTGGCCACACTTCACTTCATAAGCATTCTCTAGGCAGAGTTGTGGTTGTGCCATATTCTTTCTATGTTTTAATACTGTTCACAGTTTGGGATATTTTTTTAATAACAAAACCCTGATTGAAACTCATGTAGACATTTGTCCCAGACATTTGTTTTGATAGATCCTTGGACATCATGATGCTGTTAGTTTAGGTATGTTCCCTAACAATCTCTGGGGCCTTGCAGGAAGATATGTATTTATATTAAGATCATGTGACACCTTTGCACACAGTTGGACTCTACTTAACTAATTATGAAACTTCTGATGGCAACTGTTTGCACCAGTGCAATGGACTGGTGGAGTGAATATGCAATCATCTTTTACATTTTTTATTTGTGAATAATTTTGTAAACTTTATTGATCTCTCTGCTTCAATATTATGGGTAATTTGGTGTAGATTCATAACTTACAGGATAATCCCAGTTAAGGCTTGATATTAACACAACAAAATGTAGAAAGGATAAAGCAGAGTAACCACATGCCAGCCAATGTACCTTTTCTATTAGTTTCTCTGTATGTTTCCTGATGAATGAGTAAAAAATAAGCTGTGACTAAAATTACCCACAATCAAATTCTATGTTTTGAATAACACAACAACTCTGTGTTGTTTTGATTGTCTGAGCAAATCATTACTGTGATTACAGGATCATTTTCCAAACCTTATTTCATTTCATTACGTATGCGTTGCCCTTATTCGGCTGTTACTTGTGCATGTGTTCCTATTCTTTCTCTACTTCTGGCAGTTGCCATTTGTCATTTGCCTCCTGTTTTTCATCATATGCAAGTTTATGGTTAATTTTGGGTTCCTGTTTCCCAGGAGTCACATTAAAACCTGTTTGAAGTGATACAATGATATTTTGCTATTTTATGTGGATCTATGGTCAGTTGAGTTCAGATCAGTTCACACACTAGACAAGCATGAGAAGGAAATTAGGATTGTAATTCCTGCTTAATACATGCCACTAGTTGAAGAGTTAGCATGGTGGAGCTACCCGTTGATGCAGGAAACGTACATATCATCTTGGGCTAAAATTTACACGTCAGCGGCGTTACCCTCTTAGTGGGGCTCCCCACTGAGTTTAATTGAAACCATGAAGGTTTTTGTGAAAATGCCAGCACAGTGTACAGCATTTAGATTTGGGAATCATTGATATGTCAAAGCAAGAGAACAAAAAACTACTTTAAACAGGATAAAGCTCATAGAATGTGTTTTTATTTTATGAGGGACTTTATGCAGTAGTTAAAGCAGGTTATCAAGATAGTAAAAGTAAATGTTTTTAACTGATGAAATTGAACAATGTCATGTTTACATATGAAAACATTTATTAATTATCTAAAACTGTTATAAGCAACTATGCAGTTTTGCTTGATCTCTGTAAATTTGTTTGTGATATGCATGACTAATACATACTAATGCTATGCAATTTGCTAACGAATTAATCAAAAGTAAAATATCATGTAGATAACCAATATTTACCACTAGCCAGAATATGACTTGCTGCCTAGCCAATAACATTAGCTACTGGAATCAATGCTAGTCTAACCTGTGTTAGCAAAGAAAAAATGCTAATGTTAGCAAATTAGCAAACCTTACCTCAAAATGTTTTTTCAAATTAAATGGAGCTCATGCCTACTAGGGAGGCAAACAAGACACCTCATTTTATATATGATTATTTGCTTACTCCAGTATTTTGGAACATGTTACTGAGGTAGGGCCAGGGGCGTTCTTCCTCAAGCTCCACACTGTAGTGCAGTGGCTTATCTACATTCTGATACACATGGATAGCTAGTGTTAACTACATTGCATAGCAAGAGAAGGTCACTGCAAGTGACACTTTGGCATGATTCTTGATATTTTTTTTCATACATTAATGAAAACTGGGTACTTGAAACTGAAATGTAAATAAAATATGTGGAAGCTCATTCTGTTGAGGTATGATGTACAGTAATTGGCTAGATGGGACCTGTGATGTTTTAATGAACACTTTCTCCCCTTCTTTCTTTCAGCTGCTTCTGTTAGGAGTCGCCACAGCAGATCACTGGGCTGCATATTTGATTTGGCACAGTTTTTACCTGGATGCCCTTCCAGACACAACCCACCTTTATCCGGGTTTGGGACCAGCACTGGGAGTGCACTGTGCACTGTGGCTGGGGTAGGTTCCCTGGCTGGGAATCGAACCCGGGCCTCGGGGGTGAGAGTACCGAGGCCCGACCGCTAGTCCTCCAGGGAGACAGTTTTAGTATTTTGAAGGTCTAAATAAAAATGTAAGCAGTAAAAAGTTTTTTTTTTCTCTGAAAATGTAATTAAGTAAATGTAATTAAATTAAATATGCAATTTCTAGAATACCCAAGTAAAGTATAAATATGCCAAAATAATATTTAAGTATAGTAATGAAGTACAATTACTCAATTATTTTCCACCCTGCTGTTTAATACTGTTTAGCCTCTCTGTAACTTGACCTTGGTTCTTTGCTAATGTAATTAATATTTGGTAGATAAATGTGAAAGGTAGATTAGTTTTGTGATTGTATTTGTAATTGGATTTTGGATTTTGGTGAAAATCAGAATATGAAGTGAGTTACAGCCATTTTGATCACGGTAGAATTGTGTATCTCCACTGACTTGTACTAGTTACAAGTGATGCTCAAGTGATGGCTCAAGTGATGGCTACTCCATCTTCCCTTTAAAAGAGAGTGCTAAAGCGAGCAAAATTTGTCTAGTCAGCACTAAATAACAAAGAGTGTGTGCTAGAGTGAATGGGTGTATATTAATCCTTTATTCTGTCTCAGGTTACACTTCATCAATCACTCATTTCCTGCACTTGGTTTACACAGTGCCTGCCAAAACTTCCTGCACAACCCTCCCGATTTCAGGAAGCTACATTAGCTTCACTCAGCACACACAGATGCAATGTCCAGATATTCTCAGGTTCACATATATTCACATATCTCACACTGACCTCTCTGCCACGCATCTTAGCTGCCATTCTAGTGTGCCATTATAATACTGGGATTATTGGGTCAGTAGGTTCACCTGTTCTGGGCTGAGGCATGTATAAGAGGAGGTACACACACATACGCTTACTGTATAATGAGGTGAAATATATACTTTCTCTGGCTGTGTTCAAACATAGACAAAATATCCATTTCTTCACTAAGCACTTAACTAAGCAAGCAATAAATCTACATGAAAACATTTGAATTATACTCTGTTTTCTTTGCTGTACTAACCCAACTCTAACAGGGTTTTAGCCTGATGATATTTTTAGAACCTTGCTAATTTGCATGTTTTTCGATACAGACCTCACAGCACTTCTCCAAGTCCCTCTGCATAAGGGTGTCTGCCAAATGCTGTAAATGTAAAATGGAAATGTTTGGTAATTTACATTAAGTGTAACTGAGAATTCATAATGGAAAACACATTGAAAAGTAAAAAAGCTGGAAAGAACAGCGTCAGCACCATTAATGACTTTTATCAAGGTGAATTAAGGCAAGGAGAAGGGAGTTGAAGCAACAACTCATGGGGCCAGAAATTTTTTTTTTTTTTTTTTGGCAATGTAGAGATTTTATACAAATTGTATAAAAGATGGTTAATCTAATAAATCTAATCTAATAAATGTATGAATCAGATAAAATTCATATTACAAACATTCTATACATACAATATAATTTACTATAACATAATAGTAAATTATAATGATGATGGACAGATCAGTTAGGTGCAGTTATGAGGTTTGTGAAAAATCTAGTATGGATAAGCAAAACAGGTGGCATGATGGAGCAGTGGGTAATGTGTAGACCTCCAGGGTACCTGTCTCAATCTTGAGCCTGGGTTACTGTCTGTGTGGAGTTTCGCCTGTTCTCCCTGTGTCCCAAAAACACGCCTGTAGGTGGATTGGCTACTCTGAATTCCGTACTGGATGTTCATGTAGCCTTGGGATTGTCTGACATCTCATTCAGGGTATTCCTGCCTCATGCCCAGTGTTCGCAGTATAGACTCCAAGTCCACAGCAATGCTAACCAGGATAAAGCAGTTACTGAAGATGAATGATTAAATAAAAGAGCTGGAAGGAATAGCATCAGCACCATTCATGACCTTCAGGAAGGTGCATTAAGGAAAGGAGAAGGGAGTTGAAGCAACAGCTCATATTTGGTAGCACATAGAATATATTTAGAAGGACAGATGTCTTATTTGGGACTCCCAGACAGACTTGGCAAAGTCACAGAATTTGATATGAAATCACAGTTACCTGATGCTCCTCCAAATGCCTTTGGGGGTAAGTTATACCTATTGTTATCGACCTACTCCATTTGCTTGGGTTAGAGTTCAGTCACCTATAGTACAGGTAAAAGGTACCTGTAAAGCAGTACCTGAAAGCAGTAGGTACAAATCTACAGCATGCAGGTGAGAGTATCCACTGAAGCAGTGGTAAGACTTGGGCCTAAACTGTTTTTGGGAAGTGCAATATTTACCATCCACAACAGCAGAAGGTGAGTCACAAGTGAGATAAGCTCCAAGTAGAGCATCAGGATGAATCAGGCAGTCACAGAGAGGAGCCACAGCAGGAGAAGTGTGTCAGGATTAGGCACCAGCATCACATCAGAAAACAAGAGTTTGCATTACTTACTATTATGTTAGTTAAGGTGTACTGAACATTATTAGGACATCCATCTAAGGTCATAATTACTGTATCTACATTGCTCTTAATATAGTATATACTGAGGCCATGTAAGTATATTCTTGACCACTTTCTGCTGGCTCAGGAATTCAATAATTGTGCATAATCTTGAGGAAAAAAGAGCCTCAATTCTTTCAACTCATAAAAACATCACTGCTGGCATCATTCTCAGACAAAACCAAATCAAATCTGCCAGAAATTGCATGTATTATAGTTTCTACTTTAGGAAGCTTGCTGCAGACCAATTATCAGCCTGTTCAAAATCGACCTGTCTACAATTTATGATTTTAAGCAAGCTTAGACAACCTCATCACCATATAGTAAAAAGTGAATCAAGGTCAACATACATTTATTTCCACTCCCTTGTATTATCTCTGAGATCATAGCTTTCTCTCCTCCTGGTTTCTCTCAGTGCTGAGGCATTCCAACACATTGTGTCTGGAGCTCAGCCAAGGTCTCTGAGTATCTGTCTGTCACACACATAATGGCATAGGGAGTATAGGGAGGAAAGAAAAGGATAGAATGTGTGGAAAATAGCTGATATGTGGACATCTTGGAGAGTGCTGAGGCTGCAGTTTAGGTCAGGTGTTTTAAATGGAGTCCTAGTGTATGTGGCATGTTTCAGAGTAATAGATACTGCAGATGTAGACACAACGCCAGCACAAAGAGCCAAACCAAGAGCTTTTTTAATGCAGTACATATTTCTGGACTTTGTCAATACTATTTGGTCATTTCCCATGAAAGTTCAGTTACTGTGTTTTTCACTCAATGGAAAAATGTCATGAGCGCAGCACTTTCTGAAATACAATGTAATGCAACTACACAGCAACACTGAAGCTTCATTTGTCTTGAAGTAACGGAGGAATGGACCGCACCTGGTCAATTAACTTCTTGTCAGTCAATTGTCCAAATACCTTTGAGCCCCTGAAAATGGAAGTACTTTGCTTAAAATGGCTGTTTTAGCATGCCATATTTTTGTGGAACCTCTTAAAATAAAGCTGAAAGTCTACACTTCGATCACATCTTGATTGTTTTATTTCAAATCCATTGTGGTGGTGTATAAAGGCAAAATCACAAAAACTCCGTCATTGTCCAAATACTTCCGGACCTGACTGTATAACACGTACTGTATATGCTGTCTAAATTCCAGCACCCCCTGGGTGATCCTGGGTGTATTCCTGCCTCATGCCTAGCATTCCTGGGATAGGCTTTGAATCCACTGCAACCTTGACCAGGACAAAGCAGTTACTGAAAATAAATGATTAAATGAAATAAATAAAATTGAAGAAAGGAATTTCATGTTATAATATATTAGGCTGATAGTAAGTAATCTGTGATTACAGTGCAACCCATTTGCCCATTTGAACTCAGACGTCATCAACACACCAGCAGAGAATTAATTAATGAAGCAGAAGAGAGGGTAAAACCATCCAATTCATATTATGTAGATTTAATCTGTACTCAACACTTTGAGTTAACACCAGGGACCTGATACTGGCTGCAGATCAGGCAATATTATCCTGGTACCACTGGGCGGGAGGTGGGAGAATTCACCCCTGACTGGACGCCAGTTCGTCGCAGGGCACCATTCACACATACATTCACACACTCATTCAAATGGGCAAATTAGCATAACTAATCCACTTGCCTGTATGCGTTTGGACAGTGGGAGGAAACCAGAAAACTCAGAGGAAACCCACGCAAACACAGGGAGAACAGACAGTAACCTGAGCTCAGGTTCAAACCGGGGACCCTGGACCCATAGTTCTTCCACAGCAATTTGCCAGTGATTACAATTTTAATTCATTATTGGATGACATTGTGCTGTTTATATTTACATTTAACGTTATGGAACATCCATACAGAAGTTAGTTCCTGTTATCGCCTACATTATAAACAGTTGTCCCTTCACCAACATCTCCTGTTTTCTGTCTCCTGAAGTTAACTTATTAACTAATGAAGTTAATAAGTTAATCTCTTGAACAAAAATGTAGCTTGTCATCTATCCACTGATAGATTACATTACCATGACATCATTTCAGTATGCCATTATGTCAGTTTATACCACTGCACTGCTGAATTCTGAATCTGATTGGTATTGATTCATTTTCTATAAGAGCAGCTCTGACTGTAGCACCAAAGGCAAATCACAGACTTGTTTTAATGCATTAACACAAGTATTCTAATAAGTCTTCTAATATGTATTCTAAAACATTTTTTTTATATAGTAACAACTCATTTACCGAAACTTGTATGGTGAATACTCCACATAATCTATACCTAATAATAAACAAATTAAAAAAAGTCTTATTTCACAAGGAAAAATGAATAGTTGTTGATATGGTGAAACTTTCTGTATGGACACATTTATTTAACATTTTTGGAAGGAGTCTCTAGTGACAGCACTTTATAGGTTCTTCACCATGGTAGAGTCCTCAGGACAGAGGACTTTGTGCTTGGTGTTTCTCTGTAACATGACAAGCTGCCATTTTTGTCTTATTATGTTTAAAAGAGAGAAATAAAAGGCTGGTCTTTATATCTGCTGCAAAGTA